ATTAATTAATAAGATCATACATAAATTTTAATTAATTATGATATTAATAAAAAAGGAGTGACAATTAATTAATTTAAAAGAATTAAATCCAAAATTCAAGAGTAAAAATGAAATATTTTGAAAATTAGAGATTAAATATAAAATTAACTCGAAATTAATAAATATTTTGAAATATAGTGACCAAATAGAAAAACTCGAAAATCAAAAATGTATATATATATATATATATTCTAATTGTTTAAAATAAAAAAATGAGAAAAAAGGAAAAAAAAATGTGACCTCTTGCTTTGAAGGCGGGGAGAGATGAACGTGAGTGCATAAAGAGCTAAGAAGAAGAAGCTTAGAGACATCAGAGCAACAGAAGAAGATTTTGCTGCACCCTTTGTTCCTCTCAATTGCCCATTTTACATACATTAGGGTTTCATTTGATAGCTGATCTGCTTCACATAACAATATCCCTACACCCATGCATTATAAATGTTGTAAGTAGCATATTATGCCTCGTTCACCTATGTTCGGTCCTTCTATCAGCCTCGAAATAAAATAGCAGACATTTGAATCAACAACAATAGAATTTCTCGAGCTATGTTTAGGTCAATAGTTAAACTTATGACCTATCATGTAACAGTCCAAGTCTATCGCTAACGTATATTGTCCATTTTAGCTCGTTATATATCGTCATTAGTCTCACGGTTTTAAAACGCATATGTTTCGTTCCTCTCTCCAACTGATGTAAAATCTCACAATCCAATCCACCCCCTTGGGGACCAGCGTTCTCACTAGCACACCGTTCAGTGTCTAGCTCTGATACCATTTATAACAACTCGAGCCCACTACTAACATACATTGTCCGCTTTGACCCGTTACATATCATCGTTAGCCTCACTTTTTTTTAAAATGTGTTTACTAGAGAGAAGTTTCTGCACTGCTATAAGAAATGTTTTGTTCCCCTCTCCAACCGATGTGGGATCTCACAATTCAATCTACCCCCTTAGGGACCAGCGTTCTCATTGGCACATCGCTCGATGTCTAGCTTTACATACCATTTATAACAACTCAAGCCCACCACTAGCATATATTATCAGCTTTGGTCGGTTACGTATCATCATTAGCCTCACAATTTCTTTAAAATGTGTCTATTAGAGAGAAATTTCTACACCATTATAAGGAATGTTTCGTTCACTTCTATCTCACACATTCATAAAACATTAAGAATCAAATACGAAAAAATGAAAATTTGAACATATGATAACCAATCATAAAAAGACAAATATTAATAAATCGACTCTTTACGGTTTTTTTTCTAATTCAAACTCTTCACTCTTTAACTAATGATATATGTTTTAACCCGTTGCACTATGTTCAAATTGAAATTTTTTACTATATAGTCGAGATATATTTAGATAAAAAAAAAATACGATTAATTAGTTAAATTAACGCATGTACGTAGTACCTCGACATCTGGCATGATTACATGGCAAAGGGGATTGAGTTTCTTTGATGAGCTGGTCAATGACTTGTTTCTCAAAGCCTTTGGTTTGTGAGAGATTGACTTCCACACAATGAGATGATTCCTTCACCTTTACTTCAATGCTCCCCACCATTTCACTCTGCCACGTCACACAGCTTCAACTTATTTAACCAACACCCCTCCACGTCATTAAATCCATTCTTCTTTTTATAGCAAGTTTAATTAAATGAAAAGAAAAAAAGAACAAAAATATTATTTAAATGTAAAAAAACATTTTTAAAATATAGAGGTAGAGTTTGTAATTGCATGGTCCTTAAGGGGCACACTTGTAATTCAACCAAAGAATATATATATATATACACATAGAAGGGAAAATAAAACCCACCTTCAAGGCAAAAACTCTACCAACTTCCTTAACCTGTGGAGAAATAAAAGAATAAATAAATAAATAAAAGAGTAAGCCAAATTCCATATTTAAAATATAAAAGGAAAACTACTTATAAAATTTTAATTATTTCAAATAATTCAATAAAATAGAATCATAGAACTCGAGCCCAACTAAAAAAAACAATACTCGAGATATTGTTCACTTTGAGCATAAGCTCTCGTGATTTTCCCAAAAGTCCTCATATATATTAATGAAGATAGTATTCCTCACTTATAAGCTCATGATCTTCCACTAAATTAACCAATGTGCGACTCATTCCCAATAATCCTCAACAATCCTCCCCTCGAACAAAGTACATTATAAGCCTCCTCTAAGATTTATGGAGCTCTCGAATAGCCTCTCTTTAATCGAGGCTTGACTTCTTTCTTTGAAGCCCTCAAACAATATCACCGTATAAGTATATTTCTACACATCACCATTAAATTTTTTACAATTTATCATAACAATACTAAATTGAATAAGATATATATTATGCATTTTTATGATACGGAAATGATATAATAAGATAAGAGATTAATTAAGGCATACTGACAATACACCTCCATTGCTTGTTCACCGAAAGCCTGTCTGAGCATAGCTTGAATCATCGTCCTTTTCCCAACTCCCGGCGGTCCTTCGAATATATAATGCCCACAACCCTTCTCCTCCACCACTTTCTTCAACTCACACGCCGTTTGCCGATTGCATATAAAATCCTCCAGCACTTTTGGCCTGTACTTATCCCCCCACGTGTACCTTTCCTTCTCCTTCTCCTTCTCCGACGCCTCCCCTCCGCCGTCCACCCCCACTCCACTCCTTCCCTCTCTCCGCCCGTACATTACTAATCTCTCCCTCAACAGCTTCTCTTCCTTCTCCGTCGCCAACCGCTCAATCTTCTCCGGAGACGACGAAGTAGCCAACGACGTCGTTTTACCAACAACTGTTGTCGTCGTTGGAGTTTCGTGTTGATGATGAGCTGGCGGCTTCTTATTGGGTTTTCCTATGAGGCATGGGGCCCACTCCTTGAGTTTGGAAACGACGGCGTATGAGAGAGAGGTTTGAGTTTGGGCCGTGGTTGTTGAGCTGGCGTAGTGGTGGGGACCAGTGGTGACGTGGGTGGTGGTGAGTGGGCCATGGTGGTAATTGATGGCGAGGGAGGAGTCAGTGAGGCCGCGGTAATAAGGGCTGGATTTAAGGGGGGTTTTATCGAGGTCGTCGATTCGTTCGTTGTGGGCTTGGAGGCTTTCTTCCGTCAAGTCGGAGTTCCGGGAGAAGAGGTTCAGGCGGGCTAGGAGTTTGGCTAGCTTTGTGGACCAGGAGGATTTTGAGGAGGAGGAGGCTGTGGAGATGCTCCAATGGCGGCGTTGGCGGCGGCGCGTGTTGGAGTCTGACAAGGAGCGGCGGAGAGAGGAAGAGGAGGAGAAGTTGGGTTGTTGTTGTGTGGCAGCCATGAAGATCAAGTCGGGAGGAGGAGACGGCGGAGGAGATCAGGAGAGATGAAAAAGTCGTACGTTTCCATTTGAAAGGGAGAGAAAAGGCTGGGAATGAGAAATGAGGTTTATAGGAAAGTTTTGAAAAAAAAGAGTATATTCTTTTTAACAAATTATTATTATATTTTAAAAAGTATCTTATAAATTAACTAATATTAAATTCAAACAAAATTAAAATTAAAACACACAATAAAGTATTAAATGACAAGATTTTAAATAAACTTTTACCTTTTAAATTAAAATTGAAATTTAGTGATTTATTAAATAAACTTAAAATTAAAATAATTTTTAAACCAAATTTAAAATATTATATATAATACCCAATTTTTATAAAATATGTTGAACAAAACTTGAGAATCTATTAAATTAAAATAAAATAAAATATAATTTTAAATTTAAATATTTAATTATTTTAATGGGAGCCGATATTGTTTGGAGGGGGTGGAGAATACAAAGGAGGCGATAAAAGCCATGCATAATTTTCAACAGCTTTGTTTGCGTTTCCGGAGGCAGGCGGAATAAGCAATGGATCGAGTTTGAATTTTCAATTTAATTTAATTTTTTTATAAGCTATCAGTAATAGTTGTAGTTCAATAATTTAAATATAAATCATCCGTCCAAATATTAGAAATTCAATTTTTTAATTTAAAATTTTTTGAGTTGTTGATTTGATTTATATTATTATTACGTCTTATTTAAATAAAAAATTCATTAATTAAAGATTGAAACTGAAATACGGTTAGATATATTTAAAAAAAAAAAATAGTATTGGGCCGAAAGATTATGGGCCTTGAGTCCACGTTAAGCCTTTAATGGGCCGGGCTTTGCACGAACTCATTTGGGCCCATTTGATTAATTGAAATTGAAACAAATGCTACGCAAATCAAAGTAAGTGATTCTGAGTTCGAACCGGATTTAGACCGGTGTATAGAATTTCCTTAATATTTTCCTGCATCCCCGTTCATGTAACCTACTTATTTTGAATTACCTCTACGAGTAAATACTTATCTAATTAGTCTATGTATGCAACTAACTAGTTCCTTACCGAACCACCTTTAATGGCTTATCGCTAGTAAAGATAGTTGACAGTTTTCTAGCGCTTCATCATTTAGATCGAAGGCTCTTGTGTCAAGACACATTGTCAAAACTTAGCTCGATGAAGGGGCCATTAATTAACTTTCAAAAAATTGAAGAATGAATATGGCACCGAGTGACTTGAATTTCTCATAGAAGGTGCTGCTAACACCATAAAACAGAGAAATGTTTCGGTCCATATTCTGTATGGGCGTTAGAGCATTGAACATGATGATGTCATCCTCAGCTTCTTCAGACTTATCTTGCTTAGAATTTCAACTTTAATATTTTTATCTTTAATATCTGATATTATTAAATTAAGATTAAAAATTATACTTATAGCTTTGACGTAATTGATTTATATTATCATTTTTTTAAAAAGAATATTAAGAAAAAGCACTTATGGGTCTAATCACCTTTAAGACAACCTAAGCTACCATTCCCATACATTATATTATATTATATATGTATATATATATATATATTTCTCCTATATTTATTATTATTATTATTATTTTCTTTTTTTTTTAATCTCTTCATGGCTGGCTTAGACTTGGGCTTTGCTTCTCACTTTGTTAATCAATTTCAGCACCCTTCCGTCGATCTCCGCCTGCAGCGGCGGCCGGATGCCGACGAAGGTTACGGCCAGTTTCACGACGGTGATGAAGACCACAACATCTCACAACAACCCAACTCCGGCGGAGAAATTATGGGTCGCCGCCCGAGAGGCCGACCGCCCGGTTCGAAAAATAAACCGAAGCCACCGGTTATTAGTACCAGAGAAAGCGTTAACACCCTTCAAGCCCACGTCCTGGAAGTCAACACTGGTTGCAATGTGTTTGACTCGATCGCCACGTATGCTCGGAAATGCCAACGTGGCATCTGTATCCTGAGCGGTACTGGCACCGTCACTAATATTACCTTGCGACAACCTGCGACCGGTAGCGCCGTTATCACACTCTCCGACAGGTATGTTAAACTCAAAATTTTATAGATTAATAATTAGGTTAGTTTTAATTTTAATTTTTTTAATTTATTACAAAGTTAATTGAATTTCATTAAATTTTGTTGGATGATGAAAGTTCCACCTAGGTTAATTTAGGGAATGATCATGGTTTATAAAGGAAAAATACTAACTCTATTTGTATAAAACTTTTTGGAAAACCCTACAGTAAAACCATGAGAGCTTATGGTCAAGGTAGACAATATCATACCATTGTGGAGAGTCGTGTTCGTCTAACATGGTATCAGAGTCATGCCCTAAACTTAGCCATGAGTTTATAACGGGGAACTCTAATGTAAATCCATAAGAACTTATGTTCAAATTAGACAATATCATACAATTGTGGAGAGTCGTGTTCGTCTAACAAATTTGATCTATAATTGCAGGTTTGAGATATTATCTTTGTGGGGTTTGTTTTTGCCTCCGCCGGGGGCGACGAGTTTGAGTATCTTTCTCTCCGGAGGGAAAGGGCAGGTTATCGGAGGGAAGGTTGTTGGCTCTTTGATTGCGTACGGACCGGTGATTGTCATCGCTTCGTCGTTTACCAATGTTGGTTATGAGAGGCTGCCGTTGGACGANGAATACAAAGGAGGCGATAAAAGCCATGCATAATTTTCAACAGCTTTGTTTGCGTTTCCGGAGGCAGGCGGAATAAGCAATGGATCGAGTTTGAATTTTCAATTTAATTTAATTTTTTTATAAGCTACCAGTAATAGTTGTAGTTCAATAATTTAAATATAAATCATCCGTCCAAATATTAGAAATTCAATTTTTTAATTTAAAATTTTTTGAGTTGTTGATTTGATTTATATTATTATTACGTCTTATTTAAATAAAAAATTCATTAATTAAAGATTGAAACTGAAATACGGTTAGATATATTAAAAAAAAAAATAGTATTGGGCCGAAAGATTATGGGCCTTGAGTCCACGTTAAGCCTTTAATGGGCCGGGCTTTGCACGAACTCATTTGGGCCCATTTGATTAATTGAAATTGAAACAAATGCTACGCAAATCAAAGTAAGTGATTCTGAGTTCGAACCGGATTTAGACCGGTGTATAGAATTTCCTTAATATTTTCCTGCATCCCCGTTCATGTAACCTACTTATTTTGAATTACCTTTACGAGTAAATACTTATCTAATTGGTCTATGTATGCAACTAACTAGTTCCTTACCGAACCACCTTTAATGGCTTATCGCTAGTAAAGATAGTTGACAGTTTTCTAGCGCTTCATCATTTAGATCGAAGGCTCTTGTGTCAAGACACATTGTCAAAACTTAGCTCGATTAAGGGCCATTAATTAACTTGAAGAATGAATATGGCACCGAGTGACTTAAATTTCTCATAGAAGGTGCTGCTAACACCATAAAACAGATAAGTTTCGGTCCATATTCTGTATGGGCGTTAGAGCATTGAACATGATGATGTCATCTTCACCTTCTTCAAGCTTAATATTTTTATCTTTAATATATGATATTATTAAATTAAGATTAAAAATTATACTTATAGCTTTGCATCATTAAATAAATTTATTAATTTAAAGAAATTATTCCTTCGTTGACGTAATTGATTTATATTATCATTTTTTTAAAAAGAATATTAAGAAAAAGCACTTATGGGTCTAATCACCTTTAAGACAACCTAAGCTTTATATTATATTATATATGCATATATATATATTTCTCCTATATTTATTATTATTATTATTATTTTCTTTTTTTTTTAATCTCTTCATGGCTGGCTTAGACTTGGGCTTTGCTTCTCACTTTGTTAATCAATTTCAGCACCCTTCCGTCGATCTCCGCCTGCAGCGGCGGCCGGATGCCGATGAAGGTTACGGCCAGTTTCACGACGGTGATGAAGACCACAACAACTCACAACAACCCAACTCCGGCGGAGAAATTATGGGTCGCCGCCCGAGAGGCCGACCGCCCGGTTCGAAAAATAAACCGAAGCCACCGGTTATTAGTACCAGAGAAAGCGTTGACACCCTTCAAGCCCACGTCCTGGAAGACAACACTGGTTGCAATGTGTTTGACTCGATCGCCACGTATGCTCGGAAATGCCAACGTGGCATCTGTATCCTGAGCGGTACTGGCACCGTCACTAATATTACTTTGCGACAACCTGCGACCGGTAGCGCCGTTATCACACTCTCCGACAGGTATGTTAAACTCAAAATTTTATAGATTAATAATTAGGTTAGTTTTAATTTTAATTTTTTTAATTTATTACAAAGTTAA